ATATAAAAAAAATGCTGCTTCAGCCAAAAACCTTCCTAACGATTCATAGAAGAGACATTTTTCAGAGTGCAGACCTCTCCTTGTGTTTGTGAAAAAAGAAAGAAAATGTTTTAAAAATACAGTATTTTGTTAAAATTTTAAATGTCATGTACAAGTAAATTACTTTATAGTTCAATAATGGCTCTGCAATCTAAACATCATACATTTTGTAAATTAATATTGTACTATAAACACGTTACATAACACACCTAAAATGCAACACTGAATTTTATAAAATATGTAACATGGGTTCTCTGCTCTCTTTATCCAATAATGGGCCTGAAAAAGGTTAGATATCCTGTGCTAGTTGATATTATCACACAGAATTATATAGTCTTATAGAAAAAAATATATTCTTTTAGTCGCTTTGCCTTTGGCCAGGGGTGTCCAATCCTGCTTCTGGAGGGCCGTCCTGTAGAGTTAAATTCCAACACACTTGCCTGGAAGTTTATAGTCAGTCTGAAGACATTTATTAGCTGATTCAGGCATGTTTAATTGGGGTTGGAGCTAAATTTTGCAGGACAGTGGCCCTCCAGGAACAGGTTTGGACACCCCTGTCTTTGCTGCTGCTCCAGAGTCCACTCACTGCTGCGATGGATGCCACAGTCTGTATGTGGCACATTTTCTTTTAACATAAAAAAAAATCACAGATTTTTGCTTTGTACGGATTCTGTTAAAATCCAGATGAAAAGTTTTAGTGCAGGAATAATGTTGTGCAACTCCTTCCTCTTGGTCTCTAAAAGCCATTTTGTGTAATTTCTGAGATATTTAGACTTAGGTTTTTGTTCATCTGTTGCTTTAGCAAAGTGTTACATTCCTGTAGAGTACACATGCAACACATTTTTGTGTTTGAAATGAGCCAAGATGTCTTCATGTCAAACATCAGGGCTCTACGCTTACTTTTCTTTTAACTTTAAAAATTTAGGAGCACGTTCAAAATTTTAGGAGCACCTTCTAAACAATTATCCAAAATTTTATCAAAAATTAGCCTTTCCATTACGAGGTGATATTTGACTCCTCTAACTTTATTTAAAGTATGTCATCTTTTGTCAAATTCTTTAAAAAATTGTATTTTATAAGCTTTTTAAAAATGGTAATTAAAATGACAGAATAAGAACAAGTAGAATAATAAATATTAAGTTACCAATCAAATGAAATCAGTATTAACAAAATTAATTTGTAGAGGTGGCACAGAAGAACACAAAAGTGGCTTGGTGTACTTTCAGACATTTAATGAGGCTCAGGTTTTCAGTCGCAAATGCGACTAAAATGGTCGCACTGTAGAGCCCTGAATGGTGATACAGAATTAGTGTTGTCATCTTGAATCATGAATTGTGACACTGAAGTTTTCATGGATTTAGATCCTTTCATGGGCTAAGTACATTGTTTTAGGGCCTTTGTGAGTGATTTGTAGTGATTATCTTTTGCGTCTTTTTGTATGGTTATTTGTAATGTGTTCTTGTTTTAGCACTCATCCATTTTCGGAAGTGTCTTTGGTGATGCCTTTTACGACCAGCAGTTGTCCCCTCGGCAGACCAGCGCTTTGTCTCAGCAGGTGAGCTCATTATGTCCGCGGTATAAATAGCTAGAATTGTAGCCTACCTTAACTGCTTTAGCTCATCTGGAAGTTTTTAAGCCACTGGTCACGTAAATATAACATTTTAGTGCAGTTCTATCTGTTCATCTAAATATGTGAAGAGCAAACTTGTCCAGAAACAATTAATTCCTTGCTCCTTACATGTACAAGCCACTAGAGGGCAGCTGAAAGCTTTAAGATGTCAGGTGAAGGGTTTTCTGTCATCTATTCTTCAATAGTGGCACAGTAGGAAGAGCGCATGTTTACAACACAAAAGAGCTGTACAGGGACATAGATCTGAATCCGCCCTGCGTCATGGTACAGTCCCAAATCCCCCTTCACGTTCCTGTCTAATATTCTGTTTAATATAACAAATGCATGCTTTACCTGCCATTAGTTTTTAAAATGTACTATTTCACTATTAAATGTCACTATTTAAATTTTATTTAAATTATGACATTTCCACTCATTCCCCCTTAAACAGTCTATCCTCAGACAATAGCTCAATACTTTCATATAGATGACAACATATTGTAATTTATATAATATTGTATATTATAATAAGACAGAAAATAAATAAATATATTCAAAAGAAAAATTACTGCTGGGTCATTCTGAGTCAAACCAACCAAATTTCAGAAACTTCCCAGGCTCAATTTTTTAGGCAAACATGCAAAGTAATGAAAGCCAAGATATTAAATGTCATGGATGAATATTTACCGAGTAAGCCACTATTTTGTAGAGAGGGGTCAAAATGGCAATTTTCACCTGAGATTCTGAGCCAAATTTCAGGGGGGTAAAAATGATGATGGCAGCATCATAATGTTATTTTTACACAGAGATTGGTAGGTCTGTTAGTAAAATGTGTTGACTTTAGCAATATTTGTTGCATTATGTGCTAATGGTGACCATTCAAAAATGGGGAATAAGCACTTTTCAAGTTTTTCTCCAAAGTTTGCCTGTAACTCAGGAAGTATTAAAGATATCTTAATGCCCTTTTAGATATTGGGTCTTAACAAACTTTCCTTTTGGCATCTTCATTTTTAAGGCCCTGTATGGTTCAGTTCCAGAGATATTGCAATTTCAATATGGCTCGAGGAGTAAATCGTTAAATTGTATACATTTTCAGTGGTCAAAAACCAAATGTGGGTCACTTTGCATAAATATGATACTACTTTTAAGAAATATTAAAGATATCACAATATGACTTTAGATTCTAGTTCTTAATAATCTTTTCTTCTTTTCTTTTGGAATCTTCATTTTCAAGGCCCTGTATCATTCAGTCCCAGAGATATGGGGACGCTCCATATTCAGATTGTTGAATATTACCCATTTTCAGTGGTCGAAAACTATATGTTGGTCACTTTGTATACAGTCAATACTTATTTTATTTAAAGAACAATGTATGAAGAATAAATAATGTTCAAATTAGAACTGTATCTTGTTTCCCTCTTTCAAAACAATATGCATATTACAGTTTCTTTGATGAATAGAAAGTTCAAAAGAAGTGCATTTTTTTGAAAATAGAAATCTAATTTAACTTAATAAATGTCTTTAATTCAATGCATCCTTGCTGAATAAAATGATTAATTTCTTTAAATAAAATAAGTAAATTGTACTACATGTGTGATTATATGCAAAATTTGGTTTTGGTTTGTGTGTCCAATGACGAGGACCGTATTTTAATTTTTAATTTAACAGAAGAAAATTATTTTTCTTCCTTAGATTGACTCCGTCAACCTTCGTCAATTAACTTATAGTCATTGAAATTGTTTTGATTCTTTAGCTGGAGCAGTTCAACATGATTGAGAATTCCATCGGCTCAAGCAGTCTGTACACTGAGGGATCCACTCTAAACTACTCTCAAGCTGCGATGCTCAACCTCACCGGGAGCCATGGCAACATGCAGGATGCGCAGCAGCTAGGCTACAGCAGCCATGGGAACATCCCCAACATCATTCTCACAGGTATTTCACCTGCCCAGTTAGATATTGCATAATATTGCATGTACCTTTGATGTACGTGTGCTGACAATGCTGCCATGAAGCCTGGCTTCAAAAAGGTCCCTCTAAAAGTTTAGCATATTATATTACTCATCTTTCAGTTACAGGAGAGTCTCCCTCGAGCCTATACAAAGAGTTGTCCAACTTTCTGACAGGTGATGTGAGCTTTGACGCAGATTCACAGTTTCCTCTGGATGAGCTGAAAATCGATCCGCTGACGCTGGATGGCCTGCATATGCTCAACGATCCAGACATGGTTCTGGCCGATCCCGCCACAGAAGATGCTTTCCGGATGGACAGGCTGTAATCTTTAGGTATACGATGTTCATTTGTCCTTTTTTGAGATCGGTGTGATTAAGTGGGAGAGAAGCAGCATGTCTGGGGGACACTTGACCCTGTTTCTCAAAGCCCATCCTCTGGGAAGATATTGCTGAGAATGTTGCCACAGCATGCTAGGGGAAAAATGGAAAAGCAGTGCTGCCACATCTAATGAATCAACCTTTTGAGCAAGCAGCCCATCGTTTCTTAGGATAATACACTCGCACCTCAGCAATTGTGGTTCCTTTAGCTCTATAGAGTGAATGTGACACTACATAAGATCCCTCAATGTTCAAGCATGCGTTCTTCCATTTCATTTCCTGTAGAAGCCTCTCCTCCTCCTTCTGATGCCTGCCATACATGCCTGTTACTTTCCTTTTTTCTTTAAATATAAATATTTAGTTATGCACTTTTATACATGCATATGCCACAAAAAACATAGTTTATGATCTGTTTTTAATTTATTTTCCTATACAAATATTTCTTGCTTGTAAGAACATTGTTAAAAAGGAGTGTTATTCCTCCCCTATTTAAGGGCAGTTTTCATGCACCTGCAACACGTTTATCTTTACACATCAACACTAATGTACTTCAGTGCAGTCTGAACATATGATTGTAATGTTTAATAGATGTCTAGTTTTGTCACGTTGTGCTTAGATAGTGGTACAGTGCTAATGTGGCTCAAGATGATCAAATTCATCTGGTTGAAAAGTGTACAACTGGAAATCTTAATATCAGAAGACACATTTACACATTTAATGGGATTATTCACCAAAAAATGAAAGTTCTTTGATCATTTGCTCACTCTCGTGTTGTTTCAAACCTGTATGACTTTCGTCTGTGGAAAAAAAGTATTTTTAAGAATAGTGGCGTACCGCATATCTGTGAGGCCCCCCTGCAAAAAATGAGATTGGGCCCCTCCCACCAGCAGTGATGTCATGAATGAAAATGTATTGTGCACCTGCTGCAACATACTCTATCTCTCCCATTTACTGATTTAACAGTAATGAATGTGGTGAATTATCATTGCATCGATGCATTTGACATTGTTAAATAACATGTGTATTTGATACAGCTTTTTAGTCAGACTGAAATCCCTGCAGGAATAAACATTTTGTCTATGAACGTAGAGGCGAAAGTGCAAATAGTAGGAGAATCCTTCAACAAAAATAATAATACACAAACATCTGTTATAAGCCCCAGTCTACATATTTTATACAGTATACAGTAAGCTCAATAAAATTCAGTTCAAACGCTGGCCTACATAAGCATCGCTAATTGTAGAAAGGAAATTATACAAGCAAAATTCATGTCTTGCAGTAAGAAAATGACCAGTAAAAAGTCTAGGAGAAAAACATACATTAAAGAATAACTCTGTACTTTAGGATATATGCTACATTTTGTGAAAAAAAAAATTACTTTTTAGGGGCACAAAGTCTTTCATTGCAGCTTTAATGTCGATGTTGCGAGCTCGGGCATTCTCAGTAGTCGGAAGAGATAAACTGGACGGTCTTTCTTGTAACATTGTGTTCCGGAGAAAGTCTTGATCACTTTCAATTTCGAGAACGAACAATAGCAGTTGTATGGCAAAGTCTGGTGACAAGCTGTCAGTGTACTGAACCGCTAAAGCAGTGGTTCCCAACCCTGGTCCTGGAGGCACCCCAACACTGCACGTTTTGCATGTCTCCTTAATCAAACACACCTGATTCAGGTCATCAGCTCATTAGTAGAGACTCCAAGACCTGAAATTGGTGTGTCAGAGAAAGGAGACATGCAAAATGTGCAGTGTTGGGGTGCCTCCAGGACCAGTGTTGGGAACCACTGAGCTAAAGCATTTGCCATTTGAAACGGGTTGTTGTCAGAGAAGGACCAGGGTACAGAAACATAGTTTGTGTCATCAAAGTGTAGCTATACTGAATTTGGTCTTTTAATGTGTTAATGCATTAAGCCACATTAAGCGTAATGATAAGCTAAAATGTGCTTCATGTGGTAACATCTACATTAATTTTATTTAAAAAATCTTATAACATTATACATATATTAGGTTACACCAACAAACCTAAATGTAAGGGTAAGAACAGGTAGAAATAGCTCTTTAACATAATTACACGTTACCACTTTTTACAGTGGGAGGTAAACGCTTAACATAAAACTTTGCGCGTTGCGTTCATATTCTGAGCTCTTCTGCAGAGTTTGATCTTTTAATATCACTAGTGCATAGCCACATTAAGCATAAAAAATCCACTGTGATTACGTTGCTGCTGTCTTAGAAGTATAGTGTTTATGACAAGTGGAATGTGAGAAAAAATAGATTTTCCCTTGTTGTTGTTTTGGATTAGAACATTATTAAGCCACGTTAAGAGTTTTTCACACACTTTTCTACTCCACTGCACTACCTTTGTGCTTGCGTCTCACATCTTTTGCAGTGTCTCGAGTATGACACGGCATTGTAAAAACGTGGCGCTCAAGTCAAAAGTTTAAAAGTTTGAAAAAAAGAGACCTTACGTTTTTGCCAAATTCCACTGTAACCACATTGTCTTGTGTTTTTCAAAGCAAAAACACGTTCTGTGAATGCCTTTTAGAAAAGAAAAAAGGCAGGGGTGTCCTGTATGCCACTGTGTAAGAACTGTTTTTGTCCATACATTGAAAGTCAGTGGAGTCCAAAACAAAACATTTGGACCCCATTGACTTTCATTGTTTTGAAAAAAAAGAGGACTTTTTTCAAAATATTTGCATTCCACAAAACAAAAAAAAAGCCGTATAGGTTTGGAACGACATGAGAGTGAGTAAATGATGACCAAATTTTTAATATTGGGTGAACTATTCCTTTAAAATGTGCAGCATATGCACATAAACAATGTAAAA